CAGTACCGAGCTCGAAACTCGGTCGTCGAATTCTCCTGTAATTGGTTGACGAGGCTAGTGGCCACATGTCAATGTTTTCCCTAAGTAATGATGACATGCAAGGAGTTTCAGATTTAGGACTTAGGATTGGCGGTTTTGGGCGGCGATGATGTCACTTGTGGCAAGTGTATGCAATTGATAGGGTGATGTGATAAGGGTTAATCATAATATTTTTCTAAAATAACGGCGGGACTGTCCGACCTGGGAGCATGGACCGAACTCACATTTGCCTGAGGTGGGGTCAGCGAACTGTTTTAACTTAGATCGGAGTTCGATTGTCAAGATGCCTAATTTTCCTTTGTATAAGGAAAATATTTTCTTTAGGGAGAATAAGTTTTTGTTTTCCTCAAAATAAGGAAAATATTTTTTTCTAGGTAACATTTTTTATGTCAATCAAACACGTTCTAAAATATTTGATTAATTTGAAAATCCCAACGTATTGCAACATCGAAATGCATTATGAAAGAAATTTTCTCCGTAAATATATACCCACCATTTTTTTATTTTTCATATCACGTTTTTCTTGTTAGAAAAATTATATCTAAAACTCCATTAAGATAATAAAAGATATTAATCTAATAAACAAACTTATCTTCTAAATATTCGAGAATATCTTTTGTGATTCTCGTTTTCTTGCATATGACAGAAGTTTTCTCATAACATCCTTTTTTAATAGTTTCATATATCTCTGAATTATAATCCTATGCTATAGACTCCTTGCAAATTATACACTATTTAGACTCAATGTTAAATTAAAATTTATTATTTAAGAATAAGTTCAATTTACAATACTTGAATGTTACCATAAATATGTAAACGCTGTAATTCTAATTATAGGTCCTAATTAATTAGGTAGATATAACCCAAATGATCACTTACATGTCCATTTAATAGGCTAAAAATCACAAATGTAGCGATCGAATAAAAATTATGACAAGAAGCAAACTTTGATAAATATTTTATCAAATTTTAATAGAAGTTAATGAAATATGTGATTAAAAAGTTAATAAAATTTGTGAATTTCATAAAAGTGTGATTAATATTTAAGGGAGCATTTGATTTGCCGTCTTTTGTTTTTAGTTTTCGAAAACCCCTAAAACGCGTTTTGTCACTCGTTTCCGAAAATAAGGAAAAACTTATAATTGAAAATTCAAAACGATTTTTTTTTTTTCGTTTTCAATGTTTTGAGTCAAAAAACTCAAAACGAGGAAAATGTTCAAAACACGCCGTTCCCCCTTTTTTAAGGGATTCTTAGTAGTACTTTTAAAATAGTAAATTATCAAGGTTTAGAAAATATATTATCTAATAATATATTAGCATAAAATTATTATATTTTACTAAATAGTCAAATTAATTAAATAAATGTTATAAAATAATTTCTAAAAAATTATTATTTTATTTTTGTAGTAAGAAAAAATATTAAATTAACCAAATTTAAAAAATATATTATCTGGTAATATATTAACAGAAAATTATTATGTTTTACTAAATAATCAAATTGATTGAATAAATGCATATAATAATTTGTAAACCAAATGTATTTTCTAGTTTTCTGTTTTGAGAAATCATTTTTCAAAATGACAAACTAAAAATATTTCTATAATTTGAAAATAGTTTTTCAAAATAAAAAAAACGAAAACACAAATCAAATGCACCCTAAACTTTTTATGCAAATTTTTAGGCTACCCCGTATAAGCATTAAACTTTTTTTTTTTACCCTTCAAAAGAACTTGAATATCTTGTATTTCTCTTTTTGATGATTGTGTAAGTGTCATATCAAATCTTGGAAAAGAAAAAAAAAGCCGTCAATTGTGAAAAGGAAAGAAAGAGAGAACGAATCCTGACAGATTGCTACAGTATTTCTCGACAGTTGGGTGAATCCCGATAGATGAATTGTCGTTCCCTATAGTTAGCTGCAGGTATTCTCGACAGATGACAGATGTCATTGTCCTACCAGACGAGTGCGGTCATCTGTCGACATAGGTTTTGGTGACAGTGTCTTGACACATAACTGTGGGCACTGACGACATTACACGTGCGTTTCGAAATAACATCGGGGTTTACTGGCAAATTTTCTGTGTCCGTAATATGCATATGAATTATAATCATTTCTCAACTACAAATGTGTTTGGTAGCATTAATGGTTATAATCATTTCTCAACTACAACAACTACAACATCACAACCTATTTCCAAAAATAAATGACTGAATGCTTCATTAAATATGAAATACTTCACATTTCCCTAAATATTTTTGGTATGTTTTTCCTTCAAAAATATTAAAAAAAACAAGAACATGACGATTAATAGTTGTGATTATCATGTTATTTTTAAAATTTTAAAAAGGGTAAGCTATTACATAAAAATATAAACAATTCAGTAATAACTGACCTTTCAAAATAGGTGAAGAAAATTGATGAAGTAATGTCTTCTTGATCAAGAAGAAAATGGATGAAAAAGATGAATAAAATAAAGGTTTGTTTAATAAGAAATTTGTTTTTTTTATGTTAACTAGGGTTTTTAAGGATTTTATATTCATTTTTTATTAACTAAAATTGTATTTACAATATAATATTCATATATTCAATGATTATAATATAAAACAATGATAAAGGAGTATTAAATGCTCCAAAAAAAGGTCAAATTAAAAATAATTTAGACATTTCACAACAAGAAAATGATATTTTTGTACAAATTATGTGCACATCAAAAATTTTTGTGCACTTTAAAAAAAATGACATTTTTGTAAATTTCCCTTTTTTTTTTCATGATGAGTCATGTTATGTGTCATTTCAAGTCCTTTTTCCATGTGAGTGATGAGTAGGACAGAGATGAAATGTAATGAGTTTAAGATGAAAATATAAAGTAAGGGACCATTTTGTTTTTTTAACCAAAGTTGTGAAACGGCCTGGATTAACAACGATTTGTACCTTTGTACAATGACTGACGAATCACAAAGTACAATCAAGTCATCAAGGTGATGAGCTACAATTTTGCTTCTTGGAGCTTGTTTGGTAGGGTTTAAAAATCAATTAAAATTAATTTTTTGATTTTTAATTTAATATTTCAGTTGTCATTTTTTGAATTTTACTTTTACAGGTAAGATCCACTTTCTCTGTAACGGTCAAAAAATCAATTATCAAATTTCTTACCAAACAAGCACTTATACAATTTACTTGATTATTTGAGAGATTAAAAAAAAATGGATTAAACAATTTGTAACTGTCAACCAGTCTATACAAAATCCCTGTACATGTAGCACAACTCAATGAGTTAAAACCAACATAACTCATGCTCATGGGACTATCATGCATTGCATAGTCTCTGCAAGTCATTACAAGATTTGATCTGGGTGGAATGTATGAAATAGTCATTAATTGCACGTAATATCTCGAATGAGAAGATAAAAGGTATCACACATTGCTCTAAGAAATATAATCTTTATTTTATTTCAGTCCAGCTCGATTCTAAGACTGCTAATTTTTATGTTCTTTCCCTTTAAATTCTATGTTTTTCCTTTCAATAAGAACATTTGGATCCAGCAATGCCTGCTGCATCCGGAAAATTGATTCTTCCTATTATTTTATTGTTTGCTTTCCTTTCTTTCAACAAATACGATCTATTATAATACTTGTTATCGATGAAATCACACATTCGGATATTAGGAAATTTTGAGTTGAATAAAATTGATGTATACATACGGAGAAATCACGCTTTACTATAGCATCAAAAAAGTCTTAAAAACTTACGACATAAGTTGTCCGTCAACGTCAAAACAAGGCACCAAAATACATTTTCATTTCAATCAAGAGACGAGTCTCTCGATTTCAGTGTTGGCCCATCAAAATGCTTTCTTATTTTAATTAGTACGAGATCAGACTTCGCGATGCTCACCTTACATTGCACTTCTGGCTTTACTTTCAAAGAATAGGTTTTATTCGCTTCTTGTTTGATTCAACAATTTTGTAGTCCTCATTTATCTGGTGTTTCATCCACTTTAGATTTATGAATTTTTTAACAACTATCTCCAACATGCGTGGACCTGGAATGTCTATGCACAGATCACCTCTATTTGTTTGGTCTTTTCTAGTGAGCATTATTCCCACTTTTATTATCACTTTCAACTGTGCATGAATGCGATAAACTCTTATCACGTGAATACATGTTTATCAGTGTATTATGATCGAGTTTCAATTATCTCATCTAAAAATCAATTGGTATCCAATGTGGACGTACTAAACTTTTTATGACATTCAATCATCATCATTGGGTGACTCAACTCATGGATTTAAGAGTGACTTTGTTGCACTTAACACGTGTTTGGTGTACAATGAACTCAATGAGTGTGCTCATGAATGAACGCTTTTACTTAGATGGACAGTCTTTCAATCTTGTTTCCCTCTGCTACAACATTGAAATGAAAGGAGAAAATGAAATCGTGATAGAAGTACTAATGTTCAATTTCCATCAATAATTGGACTTTGAAATTTATTGATATTTTCAAACTTTCGGGTCCTGATCTCCAACTAGAAAAGAAAGGGACACCCATCTCGAGATGTGTTGGCCAGAATTCTTAAACCTTTCCAAATTCGAAATTCGGAAGTTAGTTCTTTGCCATTAAGGTAAGCTCATGTTCCCGCTCGCCATTCAATACCGGCTATAACTTGATTATCGTCTTCAATTTCGAAGATACTCGTGTGATTTACAATAAATACAATATTTTAGCTTTCTAAGTCGACTATTATCGCTAGTTCTAAGAAAAATGACAAAAATAATTTAAAATATACCGATTCAAATCTATTAGCATAACTGCATAAGACATCACTGTCTGTTTGTCTCTCTGGAATTCTCTTATTGTATCTTGAAATCAATCATTTGAAACAAATCCAACTTAAACACGTAATTTTATTATTAAAAAGAGTTCAAGCACAGAAAGAAAGAAAGAACACGTAATTCACATACAAAAATTAAATACCATAAATAAAAAACACTAATATAAAAATATATTATATATATGATGATTTTTAACCGGCCGATTTTACAGTTATTTACCATTACATTTCACTTCTTTGTGAGGAGCTCCTCCAGAATCCAGCTGTGTAAAATTTATCCCACATTTCCTTCTCTAGCTCAATTACATCCTTGTCTGAGTTTGATTCCAGAGCATTTACCATGGCAGCAGGCCCAGAAATTGGGCGGATATGGAGGTCATTCTCATCACAACCGCACGGCCGCGGTGGCAATAGCCCTTGCTTGATCAGTCTACGGCGGCGTTTACGCCTCAACGCCTTGCGGCACAGCCCTGCCGGCAGCTTGTACACGGCCAAAACCAGGAGGTTCACCAGCCCACATGGGCAGCAGCAGCACACAGCGGCACACTCGGCGGCTGTTCCGCCTGCTAACTCCGCTAATCTCACCATCCGCACGCCTCCCCTGGAGGAGTAGTCCTGGGGTTCCAGCAGTGGCCGCCGCCGGCAGACGGAGGATGCCGGTGAATGGAGAACAACTTGTCTAGTCATTGCTCTCCCTCCCTTAAAATGATCTTCCTTCCCCGAACAATCCCCACAAATCTTAAGACAACTTTATCAACTGTAAAAAAAGAAATTCTTTCGATTAGTACTACGTATGATTCCAAGAAAGAAAACGAAAGAAAAAAAAATGTTTTGCCGTGGGAATGCTGATTACTGAAAGTAACTTAAAATTATAAAATGATTATGGGAGCCATTCTTGGTGAGCGGGAGAGTGGGGAAGGGCGGTGGTCGACGGCAAAATGTGCGGAGGAGCACCAATATTTTTGTTAATAATATCAAGAGGAGCCCTCCGAAATGGTAGGGAGAATTTTTAGTTTCTCCTGATAAATGAGAATGCTTATTCTACTCTATTGATTGGCTCCCCTTATTCTAATGCCATTTCATTGCCCTTGTATGGCCCAAGAGATAAAGATTTACAAAGAATACGGGTTGAAATTAGTAATGCACATGGTTCGTTTGGCACTGTTTCTGCTTTTTATAAAAGAGTTTTGCAAGAAAGTTATCTTAAATAATCTTTCTTTAAGAATGTGTTTGATTACAAATATGAAATTTCTATAAAAAGAAAATAAATTCTAAGTAATTCAATTGCTTAGAATTTATTTCCATGGAAATTCGAAATTGTCAATTAAATATGTTTGATTGATTTAATTTTCAACCTAAAAAATATTATACTTGTCATTTTTTATTGGTAGGTAGATGAGAAATAGTAGATAGATGAGAGAGAAAAAGAGAGAGTAAATTAGGGGTGGACGTGGTTCTATTTGATTCTGGTTCTAAGAGAATCGAACTGAACTGAACCATGAACCAATGATTTTTCTGATAATAGAACTGAATGGTTTTTTTTTTAAGAAGTGAAACCGAACCGAACCATTCGGTTCTGGTTTGGTTTGGTCTGGTTCGGTTTGGTCTGGTTCTAGTAGATTAGTACTATTACTTAAGTTTTCAGTCTTGCACAATATCTATAAGCTAGTAATACGTATTTAAATAAAAAAATATAAGTATCAAACATTTAACAAGTTCAAATTATCAATAATCAAGATTATAAAAGTCAAACTAACAAATAAAATATAAACGAATGAGTCATTGCTAAAAGTTAATTGAATTAAGTCACTCAACCCACGTCGGTTATTGCGTGGATGACCGCGCACTCATAGTCGAGGCATGGTCCCCTATGAATAAAATAATCCTAATCCCCATGTATTGTGTCAACCGTGTGATCATCCTTGTGGGCACTGTAACTCGGTTGAAGTTAATAATTATCGAGTTCAATTTCATCCTTTGTCCAAATGTGGGATGATGTCCGTGTGCAAACAGGGAAAAGTGGCACTGTTTAAATGAGGAATGATGATGAATGTGTGCAAATTGGGAAAAGTGGTAGTAGTACTGCCTATCTTCCTCTACCGTGGCACTGTAAAGATGAGTTTTGAGAAATTCCAACAAAATGGTCAGCTTTCGTGTAGAAATTATATGTATTTATAAACAAACAAACATCACTACCTCAAAATTCAAATTGTCGGCGTCGATGATTAGAGTGAGACGGTGAATGTTGAGAGACAAATTGAAATTGGAATTTGGGTTTCTCTTAACGCTTGGGGCTAGATGACTATGGCTATTAGAGAATAAAATTAATGAGCTAAACACATTTAATTAGCTATAAAAAATAATGGCTATTGGACTAACTTCCATTAATATAAAATTAGATTCATACAAAAAATAAAATTATCAATTATGTTTGGTTCTTGGTTATAGCATTAGAACCAAACAAGAACCGGAACCAAATGGTTCTTGGTTCGAAGAACCAAAACTATTAATTTTTTTCGTAGAACCGAACCGAACCACTAGGTTTGGTTTGGTTCTGGTTTGGTTTGGTCTGGACATTTTGTCCACCCCTAAAGTAAATTCTCTGAAAAATAAAATCTTACCCCTCTTAAAGAAAATATTTTCTTTGATTTTGAAGAAAATATGGTAACGTGACCAAAAGTAAGAAAATATTTTTCATGAAAAAAATGACAATCAAAAAGTACAAAAGTAGGAATTTAGGTGAGAAAAATACATTTTTCAAAAAAAATATTGACAATCAAACGCATCCTAAAAGTTTTAGCTAGATAAATCACTCAAATCTTTAGGGTCTGTCTGATAGCTTTTGAAAAGTAAAAAGTTACTTTTGTACCCGGTTTGATTAATTTTATAAAAATTATTCTTCTAATTAGAACAATTTTTAAAAGGAGCCGGTCATATGTGGCTTCCTATTAAAGCTCTTTCATAGGAGGAAGCATTTTTAGAAATTAATTTTCAAAAACCAATTAAGGTAACTTCTTCAAAAAAATAAAAATAAAATTTCTATAATAAGCAAAAGTAAAAACAAAATTTTTACCAAACGAGCCCCTTATTCAGATATATTTAAAAGCATTTTTTTTTTAATTTCAAAAAATAATTTTTAACTTTTCAAAACCCTTGTCAAAAATGCTTACAGTGAAGTCAAAGGAATTACAGACAAGATATAGAAGTTAAGAATTTAGAATTCAAGCATAACTAGTTTTACACATAATTATTATAGTAGATTTTCGATTCATCTTCTTTGGATAAAATCGTATATTGGTGATTTTGTGAAATTATTGTAATAAGTTTCTTTGTAGTTTGTAAGATTAAAATTTCGTCGATGATCGTCGACAATATTATTAATCTTCTTTAAATTAACCTCGTGAAGTTAAAAATCTCAAAATATCCTTCGCTATTTAACTTTATCCTCTCATATTATTTTCTTTATACACCTTTTTTTCAATGCTCGCTTTCACGTTACGTAAATGGTTTCCAACACTCTTTGCTAAAACTATGAGGCATTGACCTAGTAACATATTATAATTTGTGCTTGGAGTTTGGCGTCTTTGATTAAATAATTAAAAGAAAACAAGTGTTGTCACGTATGTTCAATTCCCAGCTTATAAAAATCGACACGATAAATGAAGAGGAAATTGTTTAAAATACTCTTACAATTTATTTTTTATTTTTGCTCGAATATCTAAATTTTAAACCTCTTAAGGTTTGTTTGGCAAAGTTTTTGATAAAGTTTTAGTAAATTTTGAATGAAGTTGATGAAATAAATGATTGAGAAGTTGATAGAAGTTGGAAATATTAATAAATGTATTGTTAAAATTAATTATTGAAATTGATTCAACTTTTTTAAGATTTTCCAAACAAGCACTCAATTACAGCATTTGTCCCCTACTTGTTATATTATTACGTAATAACTCTAAGGCACCGTTTGAGAGACACCAATTTTCTAGGGAAAATGGAATTAGAATGCTAATTTCCAACTTTTGTGTGTTTGATAGTGTTATATTTTGCATAGAAATTAAGTTTTTGAATTTCTTGGGAGTTGTAGTTTTCTAGCTTTTGTGGGATGCTGGAAATTGATTTTCTAGGTAGTTGACTTTTTTTTCTGGAGAATTATTGTAAAAAGATATTTCCCTTTAATTGATAATTTTTATGTAAAATACAGTTAAACGAATATTAAAAGATAGATGATTTTTTTGTATTTTTTTTGTTTTGACAATGGAAACAAATTTTATCCTCAATATCAGTAAATTTCATCCCTTTAATTGATAATTTTCATGTAAAACAAAGCCAAACGAACACAAAATTACACTTTTATTTCAACATTTTTCATGTGAAAAATTATACTAATCAAACACAATAATTTACAATTCCCAAGAAAATAATTTCTAGGCAATTCAATTCTCTGAAATTTGTTTTCTTTCCATCCAAATTCCATCTTTACAATCAAACGGACCCTAAATTCAGATTCTCACATTATGATAATCACTTTGAAAACTTTAAAAATAAAAAAAACAAAAAAATTTCAAAATGTAAAACTAGGAACATGTCATTGTAATGAAAATATCTACTGCATAATTTCTAAAATTGTCTAGATGTCTAATTCTTGTACATCGTCGCCAATCGAATCAACAAATCAAACATCTCATTCGGTTTATATCCCCATCAAATAAGGAGATAACATCCAACAAAGGGCATAAAAAAAAAAAAAAAAAAAAAAAAAAAAAAAAAAAAAAAAACAGTTGTTTCTTCCTTTTGCATGTAGGTAGAGATGATAATTTGTCTTGTCCCGTCCCGATAAGGCCTCGCCCCCGATGGTTTGATGGGGCAGGGCGGGACATAATTCCCCGCCCCATCACGGGTCACAGGGCAGGGCTGCCCACCCCGTGAATATTAAAAATATATATATAGTTATTTTTTTTTATATTGTTTTTTCAAGTGTTTCTTTGAATATTGATGTTAATTTGAGTATTATTTGTTTTGAATTTTTAAATTTTGAATTTGTATTTTATAATTTAATAGTATAATTCTAAAATTTGAAAATGTGTAAAAAATAAATAAATGGAGCAGTAAACGGGCAAAAAAATGCCCTGAACCCCCCCTCTCCCCGTTTAAGGCAGGGTGGGGTGGCGTGGGGTTGGGGCGAGACGGAGTGGGAGCACCCCGCCCCGTTGCTATCACTGCATGTAGGAAACTAGCTCATTACGCTAGAATGGAACAAAAATAAGACCCCGTTTGATTTTCATTTTTTTCGAAATGCATTTTTCTCTTTTTTCTTTTCAACTACACATTTTTCATTAAAATAATATTATACATACATTAAAAAATTTTCATCCACTCATTATTCATCAATCTACTATTCTCAAATTTATTTTCCATAAAAATGGGTGTCAAATACCCTTTAAATAAAGTAGATATATACTCCATGTATATTCTTTCGAGTTATCATTCTACTCATACACTCGCACGTACAATATATAAGTTTTTTATGTCGTTTCTCATCAGTATAGAGATTTGACTTGATCGTTATCAATTAATTGACTAATATTAATCCATGTCGAAGGTTTGACAGTGACAGGAATGGCCATAGAATTTTGACTGCTCCATGTAAAATTTGAAAGAGTGCACCTCTTTCAATAAAATAAAATAGTCGATGGGATAATAAGCTAATCTTTAAAAAGGAACAAAAAGAATAATAAAAAAACAGTCCCGCATTTTTATTTTTTATTTTATTATTATTATTTTTTTTTGGTACACTGGGCTCAGTAGAGGAATAGTTTTTGTTTGAATAATGGGAACTTTCCAAGAAGAAGTCTTAATTGAAAAAAATAAAAATAAATTAAAATTAACATTAAAATTAAAATTAAAATTAAAATTTTCTCAATAATATATCAAATTATAGAAAAATGATCTATATAATATTTATAATTATGTTTCTTTTTTCGCTAAATATTGTTCATTTAAACTTGACTAAAGGATTGTAAAATATTCTTTATATTAACAAATAGATAAATTACTATTTGTTGGAAATTTTAAATAGTAAAAGACTAAACTAAGACTTATCTCATTGGCTTCTTAATCAATTAAGGAGTTTGTTTTAGAGTCAAATATATGCTGGATAAGTTAGTTTTTATTGAATAAAAAGTTGGGTAAATTCACGTGCTCAAACACACATCTGAACACTTCGATAAAGTCTCGAATTTGTGAAATTTTATTCTTGATTCTCTTTATTATCGAATTTACGATACGATGTTAAAAATGGAGGATTATAATGAATTTAGAGTTCACTAAATTTGCAGGAAGGTATTGATGGTTGAACCCTTTTTATTTAATTAGAGAATGGATTCGATAGCATTCTTTTACGTCTTGAATAACAAAAGAAAGGTCTTTCAAGTTCTTTGGGAGAGAGAAATTAGACGTCTGAAATTTTTATAAGAAGAGAAGTCTTGGAATGACTTGAGGTCAAGATCAATATATTTAATTGCCCTCAGGGCATATTTGTGGCAAAAGGGAGGGCGGATAGGGCTCAGCGCGGCAGTGTGCAGCGTTCGATTCCTCGCAAGGTGGAATTGACTTTGTTGCAAGCGGGAATTACCATATGGGTTAACAGCCTTGGCCTATCCATGTGCTCTCCACCCTGACTCCTGGGAGGCACATCCTGCGATTTACCTCCTCCACGATGGCCCAGGGCAGGGTCGGTGGGGGCCCTTAAGGTTGGGGTTCAACCTTTTAAGATCAATATATTTAATTGCACTGATTTAACATTAAAGAAACTAAAATACGTCTTTTCATTCAGAATTTTTATTTGATCGATGTTAATTATAATTATAAAATTTTGTATAGATTATATTCTATCCGTAGCATGGGCTCGTGAATATTTGCTTTCGAGGTCTACCACATTATATTGCTTGCTGATCATTTATTTATCAGTTGCACGATTAAGCCGTTTGATTCCCATTCTTTGATCACAAGAATGAAAAATATGACCCTTATCTATCACATAAAGCCATCATTTTTGATTTTTTATTTCTTGTGTAAATCGCATAATGACTATATTTTTCATTCCCATTTTTAGAAAAATGGAATCAAACGGGACACATTGTTCATAAACTCGGTCAAAATCAATCTACTTATTTAGCTTTGAAAGTATTGAAAATCATATTTCTGGTTCCTTTCACTTTGATAGTTATCGTGTTGACTCTAATGTTTAATCATGAAAATACAAGAGAAACATAATTTTACTTTTATTATTCCACAATAATTGATTGAAATCCAATTTTTGTTTGTTTGTTTTTTTTTTTTTTAAAACCAACCTACTCAACCCCATAGATACTTCCAAACAATAACCAACATCAATAAAGCCAATAGTACAAGAAATTTTTAACAGAACTTATATTTTTAATAGAACTTGTATCGACACTGATGTGGCATAACATGATTGGACTTTTTTTTCTCATTCTTCAATGATGTCACGTCATATGTTGTCTGTAAGATTTTTCAATCAAAAAATTTTGTACCTATAGTCAACGTATGAAGGGAGAAGTAGAAAAAAATTAAAATAACTACTGAATATTTATCAACAGAATATTTACAACTTCGCTTTGATAAACAATTCTGAAAAAATAAGAACAACAAATGAATAAATCAAATATAAAAATAAAGACAACCTACTGAAACCTGAACAGATATGTACATTAATGGAGGTTCACTGTCACCGGCCGCCACCATAAATAACCAGTGACAACGATCAAAAAGTTAGTTACACGCCTTCAGGTTCCTGTTTTTCAAAATCCCTTTGTACAAAACTTGCCAATTATGAGGCATCGCCTCCAGATTTTCCTCCTCGTTCCGGCTGCGGATGGCCGGCTTCGGCAAATGCTTCTTGCAACGTTCTTTCTCATCCCGTGATAACTCCACCACCTCATCGGAAAATCTCACCTTCTTCTTTCGCACTCGATCTTTTCCACATCCTCCTGCACATACATATAATTATATTAAATCAATTAAAACCTAAGAATTTCCATTAATTTAAAGAGAATAGAAAGAATACCTGTTGCAGTGCCGATTTCGAATTTCATCTTCTTCATGAAATCAGAAAGAAGACGCTTATGAAGTTGAATGGCAAGAAAAACAACGCTCCCTGAAACTGCAAAAACTGCCATAAAACCTGTTCCTAAAGAATTCTGCATTTTTCAATATCTGTTAGCAAATTTCTTCTATTTTTCTCAACCAAGAATCAAAGGACTTTTAGATGAAAGAGCCGAGGAAACACCATTTTCTGGATTTAATGATTCGAATAAGGACAAAAGGAAATTTCATTGTCGAGGCATCAATGTGAAGAGAGGAAAAGGGAAATGCTTTGAGTGACGTTGGCAGAATACAAAGAACGAATCAAAACTTCTCCTTTTTCTTTCCTACCAATGGAATTTGATATTGACTTGCTAGATTATCATTGACCTAACCGCCAGTTTTTTGAAATTACAATATCGTCCTTGACAATTTTAAGAGACCATGAGAATTTTTTATGGGGAAAAAATCATATTTCAAATGTATTATTTACACCAATTCAAAGGTCAGATCAATAATTCAAAATAGGTATGTATTAAATTAACTAAAAATATTTATTAATTAAACATAATAAAATCATGGTTATACAATTAATGGTCACAGATTCATAATTATATGTTTCTGATTTACTTTCGAAGTCATAAATCAAAAATTTTATATGTTACAAATTATTTTGAGTTCACAAATAAAAAATTTTATAGGTCGTAAAATTTTTTTAGTCACAGATTATCAAATTTTAAGATCACTAACCAAAATCATTGAGGTTACAGATTAATTTTTTAGATACAAATTGTCAAATTTTAATGTCTCAAACCAAATCGTTGGTCACATATACCAAATCCTCCACTCTCGAATCCAATCCACCACTAATGCTTGGTCACAAAGCATCCAAAAGATCACCACCACCACCACAACAACAATGTCGCTACCACTAGATCCAACACATTGCCAACAAAAATCACCACAACTACCACTATCAAATCCACTGCCATCGCCACCACCAGTGTAATCACTACCAACACCATTTTGCAACAACATCATCACAAAATACCACCACCATCGCACCGTCATCGAATACACCACACACAATCGCAACATGCCGCCACCAATACCAACACCAACACCAACACCACCTCACGAGACTGCCGACATCAGCACCACCACAACCATCACCAACAACCACAAAACACAACCAACGAAACCCAGAGATAAAATGGCCACTTGTCACCATCAATACAAACACCCACCTGCCTCTACCTTACACCACCCCGAAATTCGGAGCCACTAGATCAAAGTTCGAACAGTACAGCACAGCTAAATCTTGCAACGCCGCTCATCAAATTGCATAGACAAAGTCGCGCAATATACTAGATCCCACATAGTGGTTCTCTCAGTTGCAATAGAGAGGAGGAGAGAAGGTGGGATGCACCAGTTTCATCAACAGTGTTCGACTTTCACATCAACGCGGGGCCTCGAAGATGCACTTGACGGTGTCCTCGACCGCAGGTGCTCCTCAACGACGACTGCCATCTGTGAGAGAGAGACGAGATATGAAGAGAAAGGTGAGTGGAGAGAATAGAAGAAAAATAATAGAGTACACCGTTGACGGCAGGTGCTCCTCATTCCTCAAGGCGGCAGGTGCTGTGAGAAGTGGAGAGAGAGAGAGATATCAAAACGATAGGGTTTGTGTGGGATTAGTCAGGTATAAAATTTAATTATTAATTTGATACCTGAATTTTGATTAAAACAACTTTGTACCTGACTTTTGCACTCGGAAGTTGAAACACCTGTGTTTTTGTAATTTTCACATTTTTTATTTTATTTTTTTTCCAAAAAATAAAACGGAAATTACAATTTTATAAAGACGAATGGCAAGAAAAGTTAGAGTAGAAGGGGTATTTTGGTCAAACGCAAAATCCATGGAGGGTTGGTTAAAGAATGGTCAACAATGAAAATGTTCGTCAAACCCTTTTGGCCTTCCATTCCTTTCCCTTTCCAAACCATCAGTGAAGGATATGACATGTAGCCCCTGTTTGATCCCCATTACGCAGAAAAATTAATGGGGAAATAGTGTTTTTTTTTTAAAAATGAATGGTTGAAAAAGAATAAAAAGTTTCGATTTACGTGTAATATTATTTTATGAAAGATTTTGTGGTTGAAAATAGGAGAGAGAAAAATGAAATGTAATAGAATTTAATGTAATGAGACTCAAACAGGAACGTAATGTATGCGATCAGATGAGATGGGATGGGATGGAGTAAGCTATAGGCAGGGACTCGGAAGAACAGAATTTTCGAGAGACGGGTCAGGGATAAGTTCCCGCCCCTTTCCTAATTTTTGAATAGGATGAGATGGAACAATTTGTCATCCTAATTAAACCTCAATGAAACCACCACTTGATTAGATACGTGTTAAAGACAACATTATTATTATTATTGTTATTTTGAGTGGGGTTGAGTGGTGACGTGGCAAAAAATATTCATTTTTTCGATTGACCAATGCAATGATAATGGAAAATAATAAGTGACGTGGAAACTAATATAGCACAATTTATTATGAATCGTTGACTATGAACTCCAATTACGAATGTTATTGTTAGAGATCAAATTCGCAGCATATGGAAAGGGGTCATTTGCTATAACAAATCAGCCTTTTGAATTCCCGAGGATACACGAAGATTGCAAGACACATCCTCATAGTCAAAGGGCAATGAGCTCAATCCAAAAACATAACTTGAATGGTTTGTCAAGTCCTTATCTCTCAGAGTTGCATGATTTGCTATATATATCTACTCGAGTACAATTAGAAGGCGTCTATAATCTCTAATCTAATAGGTTGATCTTAGTACTGTCCTTAGAATGTGTCTGGTATGTGACATCACACTAATAGTGAATTTGTATCAATAAAATCAAATTTTTACATGGTTCCTTAAATTGTTCAATGCCCTTGTTTTCTATAGTGAAATGTTGCTGTCAAAATCAACTATTTTTGCACAAATCTGTTTTCATGGTTGGCCAATCAACCCTACAATGGCATTGCAATATAAATTACATCAATAATATATCTGTTGACACATAAAAATTCAGCCCAAATCGAACGGCCCAAGGAGTGAAGCCCAATTGGAGGATCCCCAAATCAGATAGCCCAAAGAACGAAGCCCAATCAAACAAATCAAGATGAAGGCCCAAATAGGGAGGCCCAAGAACGTGGTAACGCCATCGCCCAAGTTTGCAAGTCACCCAGAATCTGAGCAAATGGAGTGCCATACAGTCGCCCAGAGCTGTTACTCTATTTTCGTCCAAACCTTCAAGTCGCCTAAGGTCTTAACAAATATAAAGCGTTGTGGTTATCAAGACGTGCCATTATCAAAGCAGTTATTGAAGTAACCCTATCACGTTCCACGATTCAAGGAATTCAATCGAAAGCGGTTGAACGACGAAAGGTAATGGCAGCAGTTAAAAAGGCAGTTTTCATGACTAGTTGGCCATTATGAGGAAAGTGGGCAGTTGTAGGACGATCAAGCGGTTTTTAGGCGGTTGATCACAAAGAGATCGTCTGTGAAGTATAAAAGGGAGAAATGACATAGAAGCAAAGGACCGAATCAAAAACTCTCAAACAGAGAACATGTAATTTTCATTTCCTTAGCTTAGACTTAAACACTTTTCTTTCAGTAACTCGTGTGCTTGCGCCCCTTGGAGGCACGTTGTTTTTAATTTCCAATTGTAAAGTCATCGCCAATAAAAGAACACCCCTTTTTGGGACTTTGTCTCAAGAGGTTTGTCACTTACACAATCGTCTGATCCTTTTTAATTGTTAGCGACTAACCCGCGCGAAACAATTTTGCACGCCCAGTGAGACAGTGGTGTTAGGTGTTGAAAGTACAAAAGGTGAAACAATATGCCTCAGAGATCCGATAAGGAAGCAGCAAGTCAGGGAGGAATCCAGTCTGTGATCGAGCGATATGAGGAGCAGTATGCCTCTCCACGAACAGATGGACAGAATCAGAGCAGTAACAGTCGTTACGAACCAATGACGGAGTTGAGGCCTCGAACCATGTGTGCATTACTTGGAGAACTCACGCAAGACGTCGTTGAACAGGTAAATCTTCGAAGTATTCATAATATGGAAAGATTTACGCAAAATGGGAATGTACACTATGACAACATGGCCAAACAACTAAAGACATTGACCGAAACAATGAATAAGTTAGTAGGCCAAATATGTCAACCGGCTATACCTCTTACAAATCACTTTCAAACTAGGACAATTGTGGGACATAATCCCTCGGTCCTAAACCCGAATCAAGGGATAGAACCGCTTTCTGGTCCCTCTACTTCAAACCCCTCTACTTCACATCAAGGGGGTACTACAGTGCCAAATCAGAACAATGGTAGTAGTATGCCTAACTAGGGGGGTAATCCGAATATAAGAGATAATGTCCCGAACAATGGACAGAATATTCCACGTGTTAATGAGGGAATAGATGTTCAGGCTAATGGTAATGGCCCTAATCATGGTAATTTTGTTGTCAATCAAGGACCAAACATCAGGCCTCATGCAAATCAATCGGTTAACCAGCATGTAGGAATTCCATATGACCCACCAGATTATGGAAATCGCACAGGATCAAATGACTTTTGGGGTGCGTCCCGTCATTAAGTCGACGTACACAAAGCCATATCCTGATTGGGTAGACCAAGCATATCCATGGCTTAGAGGGTACAAAGTGCCAGAATTCTCACTGTTTACCGATTTAGGAGAGGCGTCTACTCTAGAACACATAGGGCGATTCACATTGCAAAGTGGTGATGTAACCGATTACCATAAAATGAGGCTTTTCCCTAGTTCGTTAACAGGAGTAGCTTTCTCCTGGTTCATCAACTTGCTAGCAAACTCTGTTCAAACATGGCAACAGTTGGAACAGTTGTTTCACGCTCAGTTTTATAAAACTGAGTCTGAAGTCACTTTGGCTTATTTGGCGAATCTACGTCAAATGCCAAACGAATGGGCAGAAAGTTTTCTCCAAAGGTTCAAAACAGCAAGAAGCAAGTGTTTTGTACCTCTGCCCGAAAAAAAATTTGTCAAAATCGCTCAGGGCTGCTTGAGCTTTGATTTAAAAAAGAAGTTCCAGGACAAGAAATTTCCTGACCTTTTTCAGTTGAGTGCGAATGTAATTAAGTATGAGCGACTGATAAGAGAGGAAGAACAAATGAAAAATTCTAGTAAAGGGACTTATTACAAAGACCCAAATTTTGACGTTCATACCATTGACGACGAGTCATACGATCAGGCCGAAATGTGTTTGGCCGAATTGGTCAAAGGAGATACATATACTTGTCCGATAATGGCCAAGCCTAGACCATCGGGTAATCATACCCATAAAAGATGGGAACATAAAGGCTAGAACGTTCTCGTTCGACGTAACCAAAGCTGACCTTATATTTGACAAATTATATAGGGATAAGCAGATAAAATTGAGCGATAAGCACAAATTGCCAAACCCTGAACAAATTAAGGGTAAAAAATATTGTAAGTGGCATAATGTATGGTCACATTTGACTAACAATTGCTTGGTTTTTCGCCTGTATTGTAGGATGCCATTGAATCAGGACGAATTACGTTCGATGATAAGAAAAAGATGGCAGTGGACGAGAATCCTTTCCCACAGCCACTTGGAATAAACATGGTAACATCTGGATTCAAAAACAAGTTGCCAAAATTCAAGTTGGTCGTAGATGATGGAGAAGAGGATCCTAGACCACATCACAGCGTCTTTGAACGAATCAAGGGGAAAGAACCAAAAAGGGACGAAGACGTTCTGTGTGCACGGTGTAAAAGAGAAGTGAATGGAAATACAGAGAAACCGGGGATATGGCAGCATCCTCATCGCCCTACCTTCTTTCCAAACACTCAGCCTGGGAGAGGGCGAGGTACATCATTCTATAGAGGACCGCCTTTTGAGAGGCAGTTCAGTCCAGCAGATAATGGAAGAACATTCAGGCCGCAACCTCGCCGGCCAAATGTACAATGCAGGAAGGGCAATACCCTTCGATGAGATGACTAGGACCCAACAAAGGCGTTTCCAACGAAACTACGGACGGATGATGAGGCAGCAACAAGGAATGCCACATCCTAAAGCACCTAAACTGCTCAAGGTAGCCAATCAAAATGTCCTCAAAAATAGTGAAGAGACCGGTACAGATGAATCAATGAAGGAACTGCCAGAAACTTCTTCTGGGAGATCGAGGTTTGAGCGAGATAGAAATGATGAAGAAGATCCAGATCAGCCCCTCACTATCCAATTCGGTACGTTGCCTCCTGTCGTGACCAATAATTACCTACTGGCCAATGAATTCAAGAATAAAGAAAAAGAAGAAGAGAGGGAAGACGACGAAGGAGAAGCTTGCGTGCTGGTATGTGAAGAAGGCCAGACTTCTAGAGAGGCCTACAACGATGAAGAGGACGACGGGATGACAGACATTGAAAAAGAAATCGACCTAGAAGCAGAAAGAAGAAAAAGAGGAGTATCGCGCAATACTCTGTTAAAGCAACTACATCGAGAGGGAGTTCGCGAAGTAGACTTGTTGGGGGAACCATCTGGGCGTCCTTTCGACTTCTACGTACTGTACGGGACACCCAAAAGGAAGAAGAGAGTGCCTCGCTCTGAAAAGTATGGGTCACCTCCAAGAATAATGCCCCTCCCACAGGTTGGGTAACTGATGAGGAAGCATTAGAAAGAAGTAGGAAGGAAGTTCAGGAGACAAAGGATCAGCGTGATATACTGCACGTCGACTTATCACAGGGGGATAATTCAACAGAAAACAAGCAGGAAGTAGAAATAGAGGCTGTCGAAAAAGTTATCTTTAAACGGTCAACCATGAAATTGACTAAACACTTGAGGTCATTATACGTTAAAGCTCTAGTTAACGGCGTCCCAGTAGCAAAAGTGCTTGTCGACAATGGAGCAGCTATAAACACTATTCGATCTAGGATGATGAGAAAGTTCGCAAAGATAGAGGGTGACATGATTCCTACAGAAGTCATCCTCACTAGCTTCAATGGAGGAGCAACTTCAGCTAAGGGAGTTATGCCATTGGACATAACTATAGGGACGACTACTAGGACCACTGTCTTCTTTGTAATAGATGGTCCTACTAGTTACAACGTGCTACTAGGAAGAGATTGGATCTACGAAAGTCACTGTATACCCTCATCGCTCCATCAATGTCTGATCTTTTGAAATGACAAAGGCGAAGCTGAGGTGGTACAGGCCGATCATAGGCCTTTTGTCGTAGAAGCAAATTCGGTGGAAAAGTTCATGTATGAAGGAAACTATGGACCTGTCAGGGTAGTACAAGACGGGGAGGAAACTCAGGTTGTCGCGCAAAGCGAAGAACCATTCTCAGTGGACGCACTCACTGAGATGTTCAAACAGATGAGGCCAAATATAGTGGCCCTGGAAGAGCCAGTAATTGGCAAAAGAATAATTAAGGAGTCTTGAATGGACTTTAAGTTACAAAAGCAAATGGCCGACATTCAGGCCTTCAAAGCCAGACTGATGGCTTTCAATAAGGAATGCAATGACAAGGCGAAAGAAGAGACAGCTCTAAAAGCGCTGAAGGATAAGTTGGCAGTATTCGAGTTAGAGCAAAACATTGGCCGAGAAGTCAACAAGGTGGACTGTTTAGAAGAGGAAGTACTTACAAGGGAACTGGACGATGAAGTAATGCGGATCGCCAAACCTGGATACGCTCAAGCACAAGACCCTCTGATCAAAGTAAATATTAGCAATGAAGGAGAAGATCGCCCAACGTTCATCAGCCAAATGCTTGACCAAGAGGTTAGTAACAAATTAATCGCTTTGCTA